GAAGCGAAGCAAGACCAGCAACAAGTCCTCGCAAGGCCCCCTGATTTTCCTCGTTGTAGACCGAAAAGAAGGTTGCACTAAATGCTAAGACCATGCAAACAATTGAAGCTAAGATTGAAATTAGCCCAAACATCAACTTTGCTGGTAATGAAAATAGAAAATCATCTTCTACATAGGGTGAAGTTAAGACAGACAAGTATATCATTATGGAAGTTGTCGAGCTGAACATTGCCACTGCATTAGATATGAGAAAAACTTTGAACCACCCATCTTTCAATAAAATAGGAGTGCCTGATTCTTGGTTACTCCCACCTGGTATGGTTATGGCTGCAGCAAACGCGACAGTGGCAATTAAAGTTGCCACGACCAAGCAAAAAGATACTGTACTTTTCATCCACTCCTCACCTTCTTTCCTTAAATCCTCGTGCTCCTTTGAAAATAACTCCCTTGGTGTTAACCCGTCATCATTTTTCATATGGAGGAATGAAGATGGTACAATCTTCTCCACCTCCTGAAAATCTTACTCAAATTATTGCATATTGCAAAATCCTTCAAAATCTAACTCTCACACGGTGAATAATTATTACTTGGAATATTTGATAGGAGATGTCAAAGAACATGGTCCACAAATAAATTCAAGATAAATAAGAAATTATTCAATTAGTGATGGTACAATTAAAGAGTGGATAAACCATCGTAGCTCTCTCTGCATTTGAAGAGCTGCTCCAGGTACGATTTTGAGTCTGCTTGGAGGTGCTAATTTCCCGGCCAAGTGCAAAATGTTGTTTCCTTCATCATCCTTATAGAGTGTAATTAAATTCTTAACAGCTCCTGTCCGGTAGATGAGATCGAACACTTTCTCTTGTCGGTAAATAAGAGCAACAGGAAATTTGGAGTGATACTCTTTGTTGACTTCCCAAAAAAGATCAGGATATGAGTCAGTAAGCAGAATAAGAAACTCAACATTCCCTAATTTTGCAGCATCATGAAATATATGACTCTCTTGAATTAGTTTTCTGATGTCGGAGTCCGGTAATGTCATAATATGTTCCCACAGCACCTTTACCAACTGATGTGCATGTCTCATCATTTGTAGTGTACTATACATCCTTCCGAAATCTAAACATCTAATCAAAATTAATATGTGCACGAAACAAACCCAAAAATTTCGAAAAACTAGGAGTAAATTGACATTCGCTAGAAATTTCTTAAGTTCATGCTAGTTTTGATCAGTTATCAATATAGAGAAATAAAAAATTAAGTCCTTCCAGTTTGGTTCAGCTAAAGAAATAGATTAAAATGAAGTTAATTAATTTTAACCACATATTTTATGAGATTTATAACTTTTCAATCATAAATTCCATTAATTTTTATCAAAACTTACTAAAAATATTTTTTCATTTAAACCAAACAGGGACTAAAGATTAATTCAGTTCAAAAATATTTTTACCTTTGATTCAGTTTTAACGAATTATAACTCATTGTTGGAACGGGTGATGCATATTTTGGGCAATTAGTATTTTATATTGTTTTTTTGTTCTTCCCATCATCAACTTTAACGTAAGATCTCCATTAATTATTCCTGATCTTTCCTCCATCCCATTGTTAATTCCAATTTACTTAATGAATACCCATATTTTGAATGAACGTAGTAATAAGGACAAATTTACAACATCATCATCCATGATGAGGCTATAATCTAAGGAATAAATTTATCTAGTAAGCAGAAATCTTTTGAATGCAAGAGCTGAAGTACAATACTTATCAAGTATAAATGAGTGGAAAAGAGTGAGAAAGGTTTATGGTCTTACATGGAATACAAGCAATGGTTCTTACGAGTCTTTCCCACATCCGATGTCCTCGAAATCCATGAACTCGTAAAAGTTTTCGAGCTAAAGCCTGTAAAGCCATTCCTACGTACGTTGTTGAAATATCTATTCTTGAACAGTTTAATATATTCAAAGCGATATCTGCTCACAAAGAAAAGCAAGCGTATTAATTGTGAAGTAGTCAGACAAAAACCAGAATCATAATTTTTTTATGGGTACTCAGACCTACTTCGTCACTTGATCAAAAAGATTCCATACCATACATGTCAATGTGGATAAGTGCTACAAGAATCTCCATATTTTCCTTGGCATTGAGATCTTCAAGAGGTGTAATTGGGTAAAGATATTCAACCATTTCTCTGTTTCCAAGCAAAATTGCCATTTCAAGTGGGGTCTTTCCTATGCTACTTCGAATTGATGGCAAATTCTTATTTTTTTCGTACATGACCTTGGCAATTTCTAAAACCCCTGATACAGCTGCAAAACAGAAAGCTGTATTTCCATGTCTATTCATCCGTTCCAGTTCACTTGTAGTCAGGTGTTCGACTAGATTGTGGACAAAAGCAGTTTGCTTGGCGGCAGCAGCTATGTGAAGAGCATTATCTCCTCTTTCTGTTAACTCAATACAAGCTATATTTTTGTCCAAACTCAGAGCAGTTTTAGCAGCCTTCCAATCACCTCTTAGAACAGCTCTGTGTAAACTGTTTACTTTTCCTGATGATGTTTGGGGAGACCATCGTTAAATGTGTTAAACATGCATAAAGTTCCACAACTTCGCAAGAAATACTATGTAACACATATAAACCAAAGGGGAGATAAACTAGCAAACACAAAGTCCTGGGCGGATCCAGGGGGGACAAAATTTTTTTGGAGGAATGATAAGTACGTTTTTACATACTTATTTTACTGTCAAAACATGAGCAATTGTTGATTAATATGTTGGAATATAGCTTAATTATATGCAATTCATGTTTTGCAGGACAGGTGATGAATGTAGCAGAAATATGAAGAAACAAGTGAAAAATGACCAAAATGGAAAAAAGTGAAAGATCAGGGATTAAAGTGTAAATACTCAAAAATTATGTTAGGGCTCACAATGAAAGTTCGAGAGTGCTAAGGGTCGATTGGAAGCAATTAGAAGTCAAAAAGGAATGGAATATTGTCAAAATCAACTTCCAATTCGCACAAGATATATTCCAGATTTTTAGCCGAATATTGAGACACATTTTTGGCATAGTAAAGGTCCGAATTGGAAAATATCTAAAAAAGTTTCAGATCTTTGAGTTATCTTTCTAATACATTTTGAATTATCTAAATTGGTTATCGGAAGAGAAAGTTATAACCAAATTACTGACTGCTATGCATAGACAAAAAATCTGCACGCGAAAGCAACTTTCCCTATTCGATTAGAACTCTTTTGGAAACCAATTTGAACGTGATTTTCATCCAATTTTCGACTCTTACAAATACTGAACATCAGAATATATATGAAGAAGGCCCCCATACACCATTCTTCTCCTCTTTCGTACAAGAAACACATGAGAAACTAAAGATTTTGGTGAAGTTACGAAGGAACTCGATTGGAATTGGTGATTTCATGTCATTTATTCATTTAATTTGATCTTTTCATTGTCAAATAATGTTACAAGTTTTTCATTCTCTTAAATTTATATTCAAATCGGTTTAATATTTA